CAGCCCCTGATGCCCGGGCTGAAGGGCCCTTCTCCAGAGACCTGACATGCGGGGACAAGAGACAGCATCATGTAGACTGAGGGCTGCCCTTCTTTGCTTCTGGCCCATCTCCCCCAGTCGGGGTGCGAAGACAATGGTTGGTTTCCTCTGAGGATGCCCAGGGCACCCCTGTTTGGAGACTCAGCATGCTTTCTGTTGTGTGTGTGCATCTTGCCCTCAAGAAGGAAAGTCCTAGGGATGCGGGGAAACTGAAGGTTTATTTTGCAGCCTCCAGGAGACTCTGGAATGGAGGAGGGGTATTATGGCACATCCTTTCTATTGGACCACGTCCTAGAGGAAAGGGATGGAAGGAAACAAAAAGCCATTAGTGTGCTTGTGCATGACAGTGTCGTCCCACCCAATTCTCTCATCAGCCTCAGGATGCTTTGGCGCTGTCGACCCTTTGTGGGGAGACACTGAGAAGTCCGGGTACACAGGGCAGGACTGAAGAAAGTGCATGTGGCCCCAAGCAACCCAGCCCAGCCCCTCGCTTGCTCATCTCTTCCACCCAGTGTAAAAATTTGTATTTTTACAACTGCTTCATAATGAATGACCACATCTTGTCAAGCGAGCACCTGGGGAAGACAGGGCTGATCTGGTCCAGTTTGCATATATGGGAGCATCTGGACCCTCGCTACCATCCCGGGCCTGTCCTCACCTTCCCCACGACACGAATGCAAACGCTGATCCACTTCCTTTGGCCTTCTTGCCCTCCACATGCTGAGCAGCCACTCTGACCCCCTGCATTCCCCAAGGAAGCCTCACACGAGGGTTAAACGGGGGTGATGCACATGGGGCGTTCAGTGTAGTGGCGGGTGCGTGGTATGTGCGATGCAAATGTTACTCCACTTTTATTTCTCAGCCCTCATTTCCTCCTGCCTACTTGTCTTTCCTCTCTATCCATTGTCTCGGCCACGGTGGCCTCTAGCCTTAATGCCAGGGCGGACATCTCCAAGGTCTGACCTCACCATTCACTTTGCTCCTCTAGGACCTCATCCTGATTCCTAATACACTGAACCTCTTCCTTTCCACTGGTTCCTTCTCTTCTGTTTTCAACTAAAGACCCTTCTCTCCGTCTTTGATTTCCTGTCTCCCAGAGCTTCAAACCTTCCCTTCCTTCCGCCTCCAGCAAAGCCCCAAATACCACCTTGTCTTCCTGTACGGTGCCTGCCCCGTCCTCCCTCGCCCCCCCACCCCGCTCTTAACCAGTCCACTCTAGGCCCTTATCAACCAGGCAGCAGTTCTCAAATGGGGGTCCAGGGTCTCCTGTGGGGGTCTCCAAGACCCTCTTGGGGAGCCCACGAGGTGCCGTCTGACACGTTCTTTGCCCTTACCACTTCCATTCTCCTGTGGGGGGGTGCCGTGGAATTTTCAAGAGCCCACGTGCCACGTGATAACATCATTGCTCTGATGACCAAGGGAGTTTATGCTAATACAGGGTCATGTTTGAAAATTTTCTATTTGAATTCCAAAATGGGAAATAGTAATAGATATAATCCACACACACAAAGGCTCTTTGAGGCCCTCAGTAATTCCTTTTAGAAGTTTTTAAGTTTATTTATTTTTGAGAGAGAGGGAGTGAGCAGGGGAGGGGAAGAGAGAGAGAGAGAATGAGAGAATCCCGAGCAAGATCTGTGCTGCCAGCCCAGAGCCCGACACAGGACTCAAACTCAGGGATGGTGAGGTCATAACCTGAGCTGAAACCAAGCGTCGGAAGCTTAATCGACTGAGCCCCCTCAGTAATTTTTAAGGGTAAAAAGGAGTTCTGAGACCAGAAAGACTGAGAACGTTGGCCTCGAGCCTGTGGCCTCCATGTGTCCGTGCGCGAGTGAGGAAGAGAACTCCCCTCTGGGTGCAGAGAGCCCCACACCAGGCGCTGGGTCTCATCAAGGTGTGCGGACTGGATTCCATGCCCCATTCATCCTTTCATCCCTTTACCCGGCGCTTTGAGAAATGCACGGACTCCACGGTGACTCCATGTTTGGAAGACCCCCTCACCCGTGCGCCACTCCGGCCCTCCCCTTCCCCAGTCTGTCCTGCACAGACCTGCTTTGTTCCCATCACATGCAGCTCCAGGGGTCTCACTGGTTCCCACTGCCTCCGGGGTGAATTCCAGACTTCCCGATGTTTGCTGTGGCCCCTGAGTCCTCCTCCACGTGGCCTACTCTCCCTTCCAGCTTCATTTCCTGGTGCCCCTTGATGTGAACTCTGTGCCCTGGCACAGCCTTTCTTCCCTGTTTGCCCATCTCAGCCTCCAGCACTGCTTTGGACTCTCCCCCTGGTCTCTCCCCAGGAGCCACGAAGTCGGGGGCTGCCGACTCCTCGGGGTCTCTGCTCACTCCCAGACAGGTGTGGTGGGGTGGAGAGGGCACGGGGTTTGGAGTCCAGCAGTGAGAGGAGGTCTCTCTTCTCTACGGGGACAGTGCTGGCTGTCTCCTAGGGTGGCTGTGGGAAGCAGCTGCTCGGGGAAGGTTAGGGCTCTTCTCCTTTTCTGAAAGAGAGCAGCATACTTTTACTTATTTAATTTTATTTTTTTTTATAGTTTATTGGCAAGTTGGTTTCCATATAACACCCAGTGCTCATCCCAACAAGTGCCCTCCCCCATGCCCATCACCCCCCTTCCCCTCCCCCCCACCCCATCAGTCCTCAGTTTGTTCTCAGCATTCAAGAGTCTCTCATGGTTTGCCTCCCTCCCTCTCCCCTACTATTTCCCCACTTCTTTTCCCACATCGTCCTCCGTTAAGTTCCTCCTAATCCACCTATACGTGCAAACATATGGTATTTGTCCTTCTCTGCCTGACTTATTTCACTCAGCATTACACCCTCAAGGTCCATCCATGTTGCTACACATGGCCAGATTTCATTCTTTCTCATTGCCATGTAGTATTCCATCCTGTAGATAAACCACATCTTCTCGATCCATTCGTCAGTTGACGGACACTTAGGCTCTTTCCATGTTTTGACTATTGTTGAGAGTGCTGCTATGAACATTGGGATACATATGCCCCTATGCATCAGCACTCCTGTGTCCGTTGGGTAAATTCCTAGCAGTGCTATTGCTGGGTCATAGGGGAGTTCTATTGTTAATTTTTTGAGGAACCTCCACACTGTTTTCCAGAGGTGTTGCACCAGCTTACATTCCCACCAACAGTGTAGGAGGGTGCCTGTTTCTCCACATCCTCGCCAGCATCTGTAGTCTCCTGATTTGTTCATTTTAGCCACTCTGACCGGTATGAGATGTTATCTGAGAGCAGCGTACTTTTAGACCGAAGGGCTATCATGCAGAGGTGCTGGCATATTCTACCTGCGGCCTCCCATGGGCTGGGAAACACGGATTCCTCCTCCGGGAAGGCTTTCTTCTGAAAGCTGATCATTTCAGATGCACGCTTAACTACTTTGGAATCCTATCTCTTGTCCAAAATATCCTGGTTATCCAAGTGCCCTTCCCTCTGGGCACCAACGGATTTATCTCCTTACTGGTCCAGAAAGAGAATCATGTCCTTCCTACTAATCTAGGCATTCAGATTTATCGGGTGCCCTTTACTTGAAGAGTCTTACATCAATGAATGCCATTCATTGTCCCCCTAATGAGATAACCCCTTTTAGAAGGGCAGAGACTGGCTCTAAGTCACAGGGAAAGTGAGTAGAGAAGGAAGGCCTTGAACTTGACATTTCCCCATCAGACGCTCCTCTTCACTAAGCTGAATGCCCCTGGAGAACAGAGACTATGTCATTCACCTCTGTATCAACAGCATTCAGCCCCCAGCCAAGCATGAACTGGTGCTTAGGAGAATTTTGTTGAATGAAAGAATTAAGCTGGTCCCAGGATGGGCTTTGAGCGGATCTTGGAAATAGCTAACTACTTACTCCCCAGAGAGAGTAACTTTCCTTCCTCCTTCCCTCCCTCCCTTCCCTTCTTTTATTCATTCAACAGGAATTTATTTGCCAAGCACAGTTATAGGTACTGGCGATACAGCAATGAACCAATGTCTCTGATCTCCATGGAGCTTAATTTTTATTTGGTGAGACAGATGATAAATAAGCAAATATTTATTTATTTATTTATTTATGTATTTTTTTAATATTTTTATTTATTTCTAGGAGAGAGAGAGAGAGAGAGAGCGAGCGAGCAGGGGAGGCTCAGAGAGAGAGGGAGTCACAGACTAAAACAGGCTCCAGGCTCTGAGCTGGCAGTCAGCACAGAGCCCGACGCGGGGCTCGAACCCACGAACCGCGAGATCATGACCTAAGTGAAAGTCGGACGCTTAACCGACTAAGCCACCCAGGCGCCCCAGCAAATAATTTTTTTAAAGTGATGCTGGGCAGTGATGAATTCTTGAAAGAAGAAAATAGTCGGGCGGGTGACTGGGCTGTGCTAGGGCAGGGGTTAGTGACAGCTCACCTATAGATGTGTTTGGAGGAGACCATACGATTCTCAGAGAGTCAGTCTGGCAGATATGTTATGGGCTAGAACTCTGCAGGAAGAAGGGACAGGCAATACGTGCAAAGGCCCTGAAGCAAGAGCAGGCTGGTCATGCTACTGACCTTGATGGACAGCAAGGTCAGTGTGGCTGGAGACGAGGAAAGGAGCGTGAGGTAGGAGATGGTGTCAGAGAGGTGATGTAGTGCATTGCAGACCCCGTGGGCCTTTGACTTTGACTTTCAATGAAATGGGAGGCAGCTGGAGGGTTTTCAGAACCAGAGTGGCCAAGCTGACATATTTAATAGCATCTTGTTGCCGGGTAGGTTAAGTGGAGTGGATTTCTTTTTTTCAAATGAGTTTATTAGTTTAAAAACTAGATACATTCGTGGACTTGTAAGTATGTTGCAATTTCTCTGCAGAGCTTGCTAAAGCCCTTCTGTCCTTGTCCCTGGAGAGCAGCTGGGGGCCTTCCCCGCCCTGGAGGGAGCTGGGCCACCTTGGGTTCAGGAGGTCCCTTCCCCTGTCATCTTGCTCACAGGAGGTTGGAGCAGAACTTCTTCAACTGCAGCTGTGACATCCGCTGGATGCAGCTGTGGCAGGAGCAGGGGGAAGCCAAGCTCAACAGCCAGCACCTCTACTGCATCAGCGCCGACGGCTCCCAACTGCCCCTCTTCCGCATGAACATCAGCCAGTGTGGTGAGTGAGCCGCCTGGCCCCAGCCTCCAGGAGGCAGCCCTCGGGCCCCGGGGATGGCCCTGCGCAGTACCCTGGAGCCTGGGCCTTCCCTCCTCCCCCCGCCCCCACCCATCCCTGAACTCCTCCTTGGGTGCAGACCTAGCTTACCGTTTACCTCCTCGGTCGTTCCTGTTCTTGCTGAGCCAGCCATGGGAAGGCTAGTTTTGGGAATGAAGACAGGGGTTAAGGGTGCCCCTTCTCAACGGACCACAGTCATCCTTTCTCTCTTGAGCTACTTGTCAACCAGATTCGGAGGCGTAGGTCTCAAAGTGTGGTTTCTAGACCTTCCTGTCCCAGGACCATCTAAGGTACTTGAGGATAGCAGGTTCCTGGGCTCAGCAGACTTATGAGATCCCAGAATGTCTCTGGATGGGTCTCGGGAAGCTGAATTTCTAGCAAACTGCTCATGGGAGTGAAGCGGGCTAACGCTGAGAGCGGCCAAAGTGGAAGGTGCCTTTTGACATGGTTGCTGGAACTGCCCAGCCTCCACCCACGAGGTCCGACATCTGCCGGGGAGATGGGGGGCTGGGGCCTTCCCAGAGCTCAAGCAGGCCAGCATCCAGCCCAGGGACAAAGTTTTGGTATTGAGTGTTCACTTCCCTTTCCCCTCCTCCTGTCCTCCCTCCCAGACCTTCCTGAGATCAGCGTGAGCCATGTCAACCTGACCGTACGAGAGGGTGACAATGCCGTCATCACTTGTAATGGCTCTGGATCACCTCTGCCCGATGTAGACTGGATAGTCACCGGACTGCAGTCCATCAACACCCACCAGGTAGGCGACCGAGCCTCCGGCCCCATTGGGAGGCTGGGGAGCCCTCACCTCTTAGTCCAAAGGAGGTAAATCATGAGCAGAAGCAAGGCTCGTGAGAGTAAGGAAGGGGAGGGAAGGTTGGTGCAGACTTGGTTTTCATCCAGCTGCACTCTTTCTCGCCAACTTGATCTTAAACGTGCCAATCAGTTTCGCAGCACCGTAGTTTTCTCATCTGTAAAATGGGCATAGGCTACCATTCACCTTCTAGGGTAACTGTGAGGATCTCCTGAGCTCTTGGCTCTAGAGAGCCAGGCACTTAGTGAGCACAGCAGCAGGAAACACTTCCTTTACTTGCTGCACAGCTTTCTTTTTGGTTCCTGAATGTGTTTGGGAGGTGGGTGAGGAGTCACTTTGTAGAAACTGACGACTCCTTTTTGTCGGGGCCTTAGACCAATCTGAACTGGACCAATGTGCACGCCATCAACCTGACGCTGGTAAACGTGACAAGTGAGGACAACGGCTTCACCCTGACATGCATTGCGGAGAATGTGGTGGGCATGAGCAATGCCAGCGTCGCCCTCACCGTGCACTGTGAGTGGCTGCCGTTGGGGAGGGCGGTGCAGGAGGCAGGGGCCGGTATTGTAGGAGTCAGTCCCTGGCCAGTAACTCCAGAAAGGCTGCCTGTGTCCCTCAGAAGGTGGTGTGCTTCCACCTCCTCTGTGTCTTCGGGACACTCCGAAGCTGCCCCAAGTCCACCTTCTGTTACCCCCTAGAAGGTCACGGAAGGAGCCCTCCAGGTGTGCTGGACCCAGGAGCCTTGGGCAAAGACAGCCCTCCCTTCCCCTCCTGTCTGCCCCCAGTCTTTTCAGAACCGGGTGGGGAAGAACTGGGATTGCCATCCCGGGGTCTGGAAGGCTGCCCTGGGACGCGGGAGACTCTGAGCCCGGGAGTCAGCCGATGTATCCCTCCGCAGACCCTCCCCGCGTGGTGAGCCTGGAGGAGCCGGAGCTGCGGCTGGAGCACTGCATCGAGTTCGTCGTGCGCGGCAACCCGCCACCCACGCTGCACTGGCTGCACAACGGGCAGCCGCTGCGGGAGTCCAAGATCACGCACATGGAGTACTACCAGGAGGGCGAGGTGTCCGAGGGCTGCCTGCTCTTCAACAAGCCCACCCACTACAACAACGGCAATTACACCCTGATTGCCAAAAACCCGCTGGGCACGGCCAACCAGACCATCAACGGCCACTTCCTCAAAGAGCCCTTCCCAGGTGAGGGCAGTGCGGCCTTAAGGTGCATGGATTCCTTCCGGGAGCATGCGCGGTGGGGCGTGGATGGATGGATTCCTTCCGGGAGCATGCGCGGTGGGGCGTGGATGGATGGATTCCTTCCGGAAGGATGGGAGGGGAGGGGGCGGGGCAAGGACGGCTTCCTTCCCGGAGGGGGCGGGGCAGTGGTAGAGAGAAGGCTCAGCTCTTCATCTTTGGGTCACCAAACTCACCCTGGGGCATAGTCAGCCCCCACCAGCATTTTGTGTAAATCAGATAGAGCTGCTGTTTCTCATCAGGTGTCACAGAAAAGCCAGCCCCCGTCAGAAGTGTGCGGTTGTGCGCCTATGGACGTGCCCCGTTATGGTAGAGAGAGGGACTCAGAGTTGGACAAGAAAGACGGAGAATCTCTACCCAGCCCTTTATGGGTTGTGAAATTCAGGGCATGATAGTTTGCCTTTTTGAGCCTCAGCTTCCTCATCTGTGCAGTGAGCATGATTATACCATTATAGGACTCCTGTAAGAATCGCATGGCTCTTAAACGACTTAAGGTGTGCAAGGCTCATGCCATAGGCTTTGTCCTGTAATGATGGTTCGATGACCTCCCATTGTAGGGGCTTCAGGGCCTCTCCAGTTCCCCTCTACATTTAACAGATGGGTGCACTGAGCCTCCCGCTTGCTGGTTAGTAGCAAGGCGGTGAGAGTGTAGGCGTCCAGCCCTGAGCTTTCTCTCTCCTTCTGTGGTGAGCTCATGAGGGAGTCCCTGAAGCCATCAGCCGGTGGCGGTGCTAACGCTAAGTGGACCAAGGGGTGGTAATTGAAGTATTGAAGGAACTTTGTTTGCTCGGAAGGCGACTCTGTCTTTTTCTGCCTGGGCTTCAGGTACTTGAAGGTACTTCAAATACCTTCCTAAGTGGGAGGAGCAGAAAACACCCAAAGAGTTTCGTGCACATGTTGGTAGCATCTGTTCGTAGGTTCAGAAATTGATGGGGTTCTGTCAATGAAACCCGGTGTCTTTGATGACCTTGGTGGTTTCTGCTGGGAACAGACTGGATGACCTTCAGTCTCCAGATCTCGGGGGTTCTGCTGAGGTTAAGGGGATTGTGAAGACCGTTCTCACGTGTGTGTGCACACACACACCCACACACACGTGCACACACTGTGCTGCATCTGCTTACATGCAGGTGACTTCAGAGACCACACATAACAGAAGTCGCAGCTCCAAGAACTCTTATTTATCTCAGTGCAGGGAAACCCCCGCTGGAGGCTCCAAGAGGGAAACTGGAGAAATGAAGCTGCGTGGGAGGCCACATTCTTGCCGCTGAGGCCCCGGGGGAGGAGGGCGGTGCACGGTCGCTCCGGTGAGGGTCCGGAACACACTGGCATTTAAGACCATGGTGGTCCTGTTTGGTCCGGCACTTTGAGCCTCACCCCCGGCGTGCCTAGCAGAGCCCTTTGGGACTTTTGCCGCCATGGGCCACACCATCCCTGCTTCCGGAGCTGGAAAAGTCCCAGGGGCACCGTGGAAGCAGCAGCTTTCAGATGCAGAGATACTTAGCTCTTAGGGGCCACACAGTCAGGCCAAGCCTTTTGCCCTGCCTGTGTGTCTATTGATGAGAGAATGAATTCTAGTTTTTAAAGAGGAGAGTGCACGCTCCCTGATGGGCAAGGAATGAAGTTCCCTGAAGCAACATCTTTCCAAAGAGAAGCTCCTGGGCCTAGAGAGAGCGGGGAGTCCTGGAATGCTCAGGAGGGAGGGTGAGTCACTCTGGGCTTCTCCCCAGGGATGCTGTCCTGAGAGCAGTTCTCTGCATCTTCCCAGCCATACAGATACCCTTTCTGTCCCCAGGAGACACAGCAGCCCCTTTTCAAGGTCTCTGGAGATGCTTGCCACCTTATCAACTCTCCTTAGGCCAGTGGCCCTTAAAGAGGGGTCCCCGGACCAGCAGCATCACCATTGCCTGGGCGTGTGTTAGAACCAGATCCATGAGTCCTGCCCAGACTTGCTGAACCAGAAGCCCTGGGGTGGGGCCAGAACAAGCCCCCAGGCGACTCTGTGCTCCCTTATTTGTAATCCACTGTCTTGGTGTCTGATGGGCTGTGGCCACAGGAGGCGGGAGGGAGGAGAGAGTCACAGAGAGGCTCGAAGGGAAACTGCCCACCCAGAGGCACTTCCTCAGAGCCACTTGAGCCCTGCCAGGGCCGCTCTGTGTGGAGGTTTGCTTGTTTTTTTTTTGTTTTTTGTTTTTTGTTTTTTTTGCAATTGTGAATTTCCACTTTTATTTATTTTATTTATTTTTTATTTTTTTTTACAAATAGTTTATTGTCAAATTAGTTTCCACATAACACTCGGAGGTTTGCTTGTTTTATGAATCTGAAGGAATCAATGCATGATGAAAAGGCAGTGACAGGGAAAAGATGGGCCAGCCATGTCAGACGACAAAACGTCTTAAACGTTCAGGAGAGTAAATTATCTAGAGGAGCGGGCAGTCAGCCTTGTCCGTGCCGAGCCCTGGCTATAAGGCTGTCTGTGGAGTCTTGCTCTTCTCTTTTGCGAAGAGGGTGTTGGGATGTCCTATTTATACTTATCACAGGTAATCCTCTCTCGCTCCCCGGCAGGCAGAACATGGAGGTTAAGAGCGAGGGTTCTGAAATCAGACAGACCGAGGTGCAAATCCCATCCAAGACCCTGCCAGACAGGTGGCCTGTGCTCCTAGAAAGGAGCTGGCATGGTATGTGATTGGCGTGTCATGAAGGATGATCACAACCCTGCCTTTACTTCTTCATCTGTAGAATGGGCACAAGAACACTAGCTTCCTGCCTAGGTGGCCCTGAGGATGAAATGCAGTGACCATGTGCCAAGGGTTTAGCTCTGCCTTATTGACAAGGGCTCAACAGTTGTTAGCTCTTAAACCGGGGTTCTTGGGATGTGCATGGATGCGATGGATGTAGAAGTTTTAGAACCAGCGTTCTTTGGTCGAGCCTGTCAGTTCTAACGGGTGGTCTCTAGGCAGTGTCGCCTGCAGGCTGGTGGAGCCCTGCTCCCAAGGTTCATGGTCCCCCCGAATTGATCTCAGGGAGATTACTCAGCCCCCTGCTTCTCCCTCAAAGGTGGCATTGAAGATTAGCTCACACGCAGTGGATTAATCCACCTAAAGTAGTGACGACTGTGCTTGGCACAATGTAAGCACAAAGTGCCGTTTGTTTTAAAATTTTTTTGAAAACCCACAAGGGTGACTGAAAGGGGATCTGTTTTGAGAGCAAACCAAGATCTAAAGGTGAGGGTCTCTTTTCCTGACTCCTTAGGGTCCTGAGACCCGCAGAGAGATTGGATTGGAATGAATATATTTAACGGAGCATTCTGGAAATGCAGAGGGTTCCGTCAGTAAGTATTTTCTGAGTAGGACATGAAAATAAAATTGTTCTGGAAAAGTTTTGTGTTTTTTGTCTTTTTCAAACTATCCATGCTGTGCAAAGAGAAGCACTAGAACATTCAGCACGGCATCCAACCTTGGTAGAGGAGGTCCCTGGAAAGATTGATGATGGAGGCTGGGTCAGGAAGCATGGGGCTCAATCCTCTTTGGGGGTCTGGGACCTGAGAGGGGGTGCCAGAGGGGATCAGAGTGTCAGAGTGGAAAGCCACGAGAAATCAGGGGTTCAAGTGTCAGGAGCGGAGGTCACAGGAGACGCTGGGGGGGACAGCAGAGTGGGAGGTGGTAGCTAGAAGGCTGGCGTTGGGGAGAGAATGTGAAGTTGGAGACCTTTAGATGTGATAGAAGGCGAATGTTGTCAAAGTGTGTGTGTGTGTGTGTGTGTGTGTGTGTGTGTGTGTTTGCCTGTACACGTGCAACGCATACACTTGACAGGATATTTAGGAATACATGACCCATCATAGCTCTAAAATTCTCATTCTTTGCTTGGCCAGGGAGTCCGGTTCCTTCACTGAGATTTTTACAACAGCAGAAACCAGAGCCCCCTCAGGACGCGGGGCACAAAGGGAGAAGTCATTGCCCCTGCGCCCTCAGCCCCTGTCTAGGCTGGTTTCCTTCTCCTAAGGAACTTGTGGAAACCGGCATGGGGTCCCAGGCTGCTGGTGCCCGGTCGGGGAGGGAGGGGAGTGTTTCTCCCCATGTCTGAGTGCCCAGCAGCTGAGTGCAGGGGTGCAGAGACAGGGCTCCTGGGCAGAGGGAGGGGTGGCGTGGCCTCCCCGCTCCCTTCTTACATCTGAGGCTGGGGCCGATGTTCTCGCCAACACGTCTCCGGCTGTCTCTTTGTCTGGATGCAAGCGGCTGCTTCTCTCCTCCCTTTGCTGGGCCCTGCTGGCTTTCCCCACAAGGCTCTTCTGGATGATTTTTGGGACCTGGGGAGGTGCTGTCTGGGACTGGGGGAACACTGCCCTCATGCCCACACCCGCCGCGTTCACGTCCAGATGGCACTGTGGCATATGTGAGTCCAGTCACCTCCCTGGCTGCTTGTGGGGTCAGAGGTGAGGACCATTCCTGGGCACTGCCGTCCTCCCCCAGTGCAAAATCCCACAGGTTAGAGGGGACCCACAAGGTCTCCCTGGTCCAAAGCTCACGTGCTTCCTGGATGGAAGAATGTTCCCAGGCTCCAGCAAGGGAGCTGAGCACGTAGGCTGATTGGGAGATTGCAGGGTTCACAGACATGGCCAAAACATTTGGCTGACATGAGAATATTCTCTAATAAATAGGGGCCTTATGAGAAATATGCAAATAAGTGTTAATTACAAATTGATCTGGCACCTCTCTTTCCTCGGGCTCTGAAGCCAAGGCCAGGGCCCCCTCTCCTCCGTCCTTTCCACAAATCAGGCATTTGGTTACCTGCAGTTTACAAGAGGGTAGTAGCATGAAGGGCAGGCTCAGGAATTTGGAGAAAGTTCCCTTGGTCTTCCCCAAATGGTGCAAAATGGACAGTAGACAAGCCATTTATTTTTTATTTATTTAAATTCCAGTTAGTTAACTTGTAGTGCAGTATTGGTGTCAGGAGTAGAAATCGATGATTTATCACTTAAATACAACACCCAGTGCTCACCAGAACAAGTGCCCTCCTTAATCCCCATCAGCCACCTAACCCATCCCCCACACACTGCCCTTCAAGCCTTCAGCTTGTTCTCTGTCAGTAAGAGTCTCTTGTAGGCTGTTTTTCTCTATTCTCTTCCCCTCCTTTCCATGTGCTCATCTGTTTTGTGTCCTAAATTCCACATATGACTGAAATCATACGGTATTTATCTTTCTCTGATTGACTTATTTCACTTAGCATAATACATTCTAGCTCCATCCATGTCATTCCAAACGGCAAGATTTCATTCTTTTTGATGGCTGAGTAATATCCACACCACAGTATCTGTATCCATTCATCAGCCAATGGACATTTGGGCTCTTCCCGTGGTTTAGCTATTGGTGATAACAGAGGCCATCTATTCATGGCAGATTTCCTGTAAATAGGACTTTCTCTAGAGTCCTTCACAGAAAGCATCACTTTCTCCACAGCTAGTTAGAGAAGAAGGCTTGCTGGTGCATGCTTCATGAGCCATAATTACAATGACCGTGAGGATTTAGCCAGTGAATGAATGAATGAATGAATGAATGAGTCGTTCTTGTTGTTCTTATTGTTCAGGGTGTGGTAGGCTTGGGGCAGGAGTAGATGTAATATAATGCGGTGATTCTCAGAGACTGGCAGCAGCAGCAGCAGCATCTGAAAACTTGGTAGAAATGCCAATTCTCAAGGCCCTCCCCAGACCTCCTGACTCAATCTCTGGGGTGAGGACCAATAATCTAGGTTGATTGAAAAAAATATTTTTTGGAAAAAAAAATTTAAGGTTTTTAACTCTTCATTTTGAAACCATTTTAAGATTTACCCCCAAAAGCGACAAAATAGCACAAAGAACTTCCTTATACCCATCACCCAGCTTCTCCAAGTGTTAGCATCTTACATAAACACAGTCCCATGTGCAAAAGCAGAATATTAACACTGACACTCCTATCGAATCTACAGACTTTATTTTTGTCCACTGGCGTCCACTGTCCTAGGCAGAATCATCCACTGCACTTAATGCTATGTCACCTTATTCTCTTTCAGTCTGGGATGGTTCCTCAGTCTGTCTTTGTCTTTCCTGAGCGGCACACTCTTAAAGAATACTTCCTTGTTATTTTGTGGACTTCCCCACAATTTGGGTTTGTCTGCTCTCATCTCACAGTCAAATACCAGTTCATGCATTTTTGACATAAACACCACAGAAAATGATGCTGTGCCCTTTCGGACATCGTATCAGGGGGCACGTCTGTATCTCTTACCACTGGTGACGTTAATTTGGTCAACATGGGTTCTCCACTGCAGAGTGATTTTTTAAAAAATTTTAATGTTTTTTAAATTTTATTTTTATATTTGAGAGACAGAGAGAGGGAGGGAGACACAGAATCCGAAGCAGGCTCCAGGCTCCCAAGCTGTCAGCACAGAACCCGATGTGGGGTTCTAACCCACGAACCATGAGATCATGGCCTGAGCCAAAGTCAGGAAGTCAGGAAGTCAGATGATTAACCGACTGAGCCACCCAGGCGCCCCGCAAAGTGATTTTTTTTCCATTTGTAACTAAATGAGTATAATATTTTGAAACTTTGTAAATGTCTTGTTTCTTATCGTGTGTTCACACATTAATTTTAGCATTCATTGATGATTCTTGCCTGAAATAGTTATTACAGTACTTATTTGTCAGTGGTAATTTTTCTATTTCCATCATTCCTTCTTTATTTATTGAGTGGAATTCTACTGTAAGGAAGAGCTTTCTCTTTCTCCCCATTCATTCAATTATTTATTTATTTTGGTATGGACTCATGGGTATTTATTTTGTCCTGTGACTTATGATTGTGTAGTTTGTTCAGGTTGCCAGAAAAGAGTATCACAGACTGGGTGGCTTGAACAACAGACATATGTTTTCTCCCAAGCCTGGAGGTTAGACATCTGCAGGGTGAGGCCTCTCTTCCTTGGCTTGCAGATGGGTGTCTTTTTTTTTCTTAAACTTTTGTTTAATGTTTATTTATTTTTGAGAGACAGAGACAGAGCACGAGCTGGAGAAGGGCAGAGAGAGAGAAGGAGACACAGAATCTGAAGCAGCTCCAGGCTCTGAGCTGTCCACACAGAGCCTGATGGGGGGCTCGAACCCACGAACTGTGAGATCATGACCTGAGTTGAAGTCAGACGCTTGACTGACTGAGCCACCCAGGCAGCCCCAGATGGATGTCTTCTTTCTGTGTCTGCACATGGTCTTCCCTCCATGTATGTCTGTGTCCTAATGTCTTCCTCTTACAAGGATGCCGGCCATACTGGATTCATGTCCATCCTAATGACTATCTTAACTTAATTGCCTCCTTAAAGACCCTGCCTCCCAGCACAGTCATCTTCTGAAGAACTGGAGGTTAGGACCCCACCGTTTGAATTCTGGGCGGATATAATTCAGCGCCTAACAATCCATGACTATATTTATATTATTGCTTCAATTGTCCCAAATTTGGTTATCAGAAGCTCCTTCACCTTGGCTCCTGTGTTCTTTCCCCATGCCCCCATCAATTTGGGGGCACTTTCTTACTCTCTAGTACTATAAGGTGTCTCAGGCACATCTTGTAGCATCTCCGGCCCAGGCCTGACATTATGCATTTCTTCAGGAAGCCCTCATTCCTTCGGTTGGAGAAAGGGAGTGATCATGCCCTAGATGATTCTATTCCCTGCTAGAATTTGAGGATCTCTGGTAGAGTGGTTAAACACTCAGACTTGGCTTTGAATTCAGCTCACTCTGTGCCCTCTTGGATGAGTGAGATGCAGTTACCTCCTTAATCTCTGTAAGCTCGTTTCTATTTCTGTTAAATGGGGAGAATGCTCTCCACCTCCTAGGATGGTTATAAGGATTGAGTGGTGTCTTATATAAAGCATTTAGCTCAGCCCCTGGCTCATCATCAATGTCTAATAATGACGAGCTTTCACTATCAGGTGAGCCATTTCTAGGGGCAAAGATCCAATGACACGTTTTCATCCAGGGGATGGGCAGGTTTATAGAGGGATTCCCAGGAACCCCTCAGGGACCTGGCAGAATAACCCCCACGTATCAGTGTGAGGAGTTCTGTCTTAGGGTCATGGCTACTGACCTTTTCGAGAAAGGTCTGGGGGAGCCCACCCCTGCAGCCTTTCTTGGCTCTGAGGTACCACGAACATCCTTAGCCTTCTGGGCACCTGAAGGATAGCAGATTGTGGATGAGACATTATGTCCAGTTTTAATTTTCCATCTCCTAGACCCCAGCTGGGCCGGGCCACCTCCCTCAGAGCTGGGAGCTTTATCATTCCTTCTTCACTTGGAAGACCACCTCCTCAAGGGGTTGTGTAGCATGGAGGAAGGGTGGTCATGTCAAGGATTTTAGTTTTCAGTTGCTAGGGTAATGGGAGAGTCCTGGCGAAGGGGGGAGGTCGTAGCTATTAGGAAGATAGAGTGCATCTTTTCCGGTTTTTATTACACTTGTTAATTATCTCTTTGTCTTTTTTGCAGAGAGCACGGATAACTTTGTCTCTAGTAAGTCTGCTTTCCTTTTTGCTTTGGAGCTGATGTATTCTGGTACTTTCAGTCATTGTCGAATCCACATAGTCCTGTTCCACGGCCCTCCCCAGACCCATGGCAGCGGCTGAGAGCATCTGAGTGAACTGTGAAGGGTAGCTGGAGAGTAGTAATACCTCTTGGGCAGCTTCAGGCACACACTTCTTGGGATCTGTGCCTCAGTTTCTCCCAGGGAGTTTTCTGAGATCTGAGCCTGTTGTGAGTCTCCCTGCCTGGATGGGAAGGAGGGGTGTGGGGGTCTCACATGCCCGTGGGAGACCCCTGTGGGTCAGCCCTGTTGTTCTTGTGGAGAGGACGGGGAACGTCTATACCTCTTCTCCTTACCTGCTCGAGGACCTGGACTCTGGCTGGGACTTATCTTGTGAGTGATTTATGAACTCTCATGATAACACTTGTGTGTCCTCACATGGAATTATCGAGGCTCAGGTTATAAGCGGTTTGGGGCTAGGACTAGACAATCCTAAAAGAATTTGGTGTTTTGCTCATGGCTGTGGGGAAACCTGTATTAGCTTTTCCTTCTCTCCCCTGTGGGAGAGCCAATGGTCATTGTCATTGCTGCCCCGTGTGTGGGCTGAGATACAGGACAGTCCTACTGAGGACACCCCTTATTGTTTGGCACAGATAAGAATGTCATCTGTGATTCCTTTATTTGTCCTTGGTCTGTGAGGACTTGTCATCTCACAAGATGTCCCTCCTGTGATATCTGAATTGGGGCCATTTCCTGGTCAGAAGGTGATTTGAGACAGAGGAAAAATTGACACTTGGCTTCCCATCCAGGCTTTGCTGGGAAAAGGTGGTGCTTCCTGGTCAGGTGGACTTGCATTGTACCCCAAGCTGTTATTGTGTCCTGACATCTGCGGTGGGGGGTGGGCAGCGGGTTGTTCCCGGAGCCGTGGGCCTCCTGGGTCTCGCCAAGGAGTAAAGGGAGAGAGGAGGGGCACGGGAGAGCCAGGGATGGGCGGAGAGCCCACCGCAGAGGGTAGCCAGACATCAGCACAAGCTGCCATCACCACCGAGCTGTGCCCAGTGCAGACCCTAGCCTGGATCCCAAACCAGTTTTTCTACACTTTTGTACCTAATAGTTCATGGCCCACGTTGCTCAGGTGACATTATTTGTTCTGGGGTGGGGAGGAGGGATGGCAGTGAGGCTATTTTATTCCTTGTGGAGTTTGCCCTTGAGCTTCTTAGCGCCAGCAGGCGGCCAGACGGGGACCTGGTTTCTAGAGACTCCCGCGAAGCCTGGGGAGGTCCTACAGTCAGGGTCTGGTGCTAAGGGACCAGCAAAACTCCAGAGGGGTCCCTGAGATTCGGGCGGGGACGGTGGCTGAGGCCCTCGTGGCCACTGAGAGCCAACCTCTTCCTTTTCTGTTTGGTTTTCAGTCTACGATGTGAGCCCCACGCCCATCACTGTGACCCATAAACCGGAGGAAGACACTTTTGGGGTGAGTCACTTCTTGATCAAGGGGAAGGTGTTCACTAACGGAGTTGTTTTCAGGGTTCGTTTTGGAAGCTGACGCCCTGGAATTTTACCTTGCTTGGAGCGCGCGCGCGCGCACACACACACACACACACACACACACACACACACTGTGATGAATGGCCTCCTTTCAGGTGTTTGAAACCTTCTTTGTTTGATGAGAATAAGTCATTGTTTGAGGAAGTCTTTGAGGATCGGCTCCAGGCCCTAGGGTTTGGAAGAGAACTAGAAAACCCCCACTCTCTTAGGAGCCTGGATGGGCCTAATTTGAAGGGCAGGCTAAGCACACAAGTCTCTTAGAAAAGTCAGAGTCGCTCAGAACATACCCTCGGGTGGGGTTTTCAAGCCCCCCACCTCCCCTGCTCGACTCTCAGAGCCAGAGATATCCCTGGGGAAGAGAGTAAAGAGGCTTTTTGAGAGTCCAGATCTCCTAGAACATTCTGGATAAGAATATTCTGTAAAGAATGTCAGTGTGAAGGTGTATAGGTTTTTTTTTTTTTTTTGGCTAATTTAAATAACAACCAGGGGCACCTGGGTGGCTCAGTCAGTTAAGTGTCCGACTCTGGATTTCAGCTCAGGGTGTGATTTTTACAGTTCATGAGTTCAAGCCCCACCTTGGATTCCAAGCGGACATTACATAGCCTGCTTGGGATTCTCTCTACTCTCTCTGCACCTCCCCTGCTTGTGCTCTCTTTCTCTCTCTCTCGAAATAAATAAACTTAAAAAAACAACAGGAAACAATAGACAAAGCCCTCTGAAATCCGCCCTGGAATTGCTGACACTGGCTCCCAGATGAGAGGCTGAATCGTGGAATGTTCCCTCATCCAGTTGGGGAATTAATTTCCTTTGAACGCTCTGAACATCTCATGAATTACTGCTTCTGAAGACTTTACTGAGTCTTCGCAAAGTCCTGAATGGGCCGCAGCTGTGCCTGCATCGGGGCCGCTTTCCTTCGGGCGTGAGTGGGTTTCCTGTGACTGTTCTCAGCTGTCTGCTCTTGGCCCCTCCAGGTATCCATAGCTGTCGGACTGGCTGCTTTCGCCTGCGTCCTGTTGGTGGTTCTCTTTATCATGATCAACAAGTACGGCCGCCGGTCCAAATTTGGAATGAAGGGTAAGGTGGGATTTTCATTTGCGAGGGCCTCGCGGTGGGGGGGGGGGGTGGTCCTTTGATCAAAAGATGCTGCTTTAAGTCCCCCTCTGCTCTCCAAGAGGGCCTCTCTGGTCGTGTGTTTGAGTGGTCCTGGCGAGACTCCTGTCTACACCTTATCATTGGTACTGATGGATTGGAAGCGTGTTGGTGTGTGCGGAGGCCAGACTGTGGGCTTCCTGGTTTCGCCAACTGCTGACAGCGTCGTGTAGCTGGCCTGCTGTGTGAGGGGGTGTGTGAAGGCAGTTGGTGAGAAGAAGGACTCCCTGTTGAAGGAACCTCAGTTTCTCTCTCATCTGCACCGAGCCTTGGGTTTGGGACGAGAAGGTATCAGCACAGCGAGCTGGGGGGCGGTGGACCCTGGCTTTGGGAAGTGGCCTGTGCCGTGGCATTTCCGCACGTCACTCTACATGGCGTCCTGGAAGCGATGCCAAGATCAACACGATTGCTGAATCTGCTGGCCAGCTTCCATGGTGCCGGGGACTCGGCCCGCTAGGGTGGGGTGGACAGTGCCCTGAGGCTTTCCACCAAGGCTCGGGGTAGGGGGGTGGCACAAAAGGGGTTAATACAGCGAATTCGCATCTATCTGCCCGGTCCCTGGGACGAGCTGACCACTTGGCTCCCTGGAGGCTGGGTACCAGTCCTCAGGCAGAAACTTGAATTTCAAGACCTACTCTCCTCTGGGGTTTCCATTTATGGCTGGTGTCAGATGAGCGGTGGGTCGGGAAGGATGATGGAAAGATCTGACAAGCTGTGAGGTTGCCGCGCGAGGATCCAGGTTGGGGTTTTCGGGGGAGAGTATGGCATCCAGAAAGATGAATTTCAGCAGTTTCTGCACATGAACTGGTCTCTGTACTGAGGGTCCTGACGCCGGGACTCCGAGACTGAAGGGGAGAGGGCACAAGAATGATCTCTACAGAGACGGTGGTCCCCTGAACTCATGCACGTGTTTGAACGTATGTGGCTGTGGGGCCGCGGGGTGGTTGGGAATGGAATTCGTCCTGCTTTTCTGTTACGTTCTCCAAATATCCTGTGACTGCCCCAAAAGTTGAGAATGTGGACGCTCAGCAAAAGACACCTGTAGAGAAATAGAAAGATGGAAAACAGAAGGGCAGACTATGGGCTTCTTAGACGCTCCCTGCCTCTGTACACTCTTTCCGTTCCTGATTGAGCTGAACCAAATCACAGCGAGGCAAGCCAGGTTTCACTGAATCCTATGAAATACCTTGACCAAGGGATACATGCGCAGGCCAATTATAAAAGGGGAGGATAGAAGTTTGGCCCGAAGCCCCCTGATCAGACCACTGTGAGGCACCTTGGTTGGAGATGTTTCATCTGAAGGGGCTTCCCTGTGCCGGACAGGGCTCTGCAGAGGTGGAGGAAGAAAACCACCATGGGAGCCCCAAGCCTTCGATCCCGGCACGGACTGTGGCTTGTGCAAACTTTTCCGGTTGTGGGAGGAACCTTCTTCCTAGCTGTTTCTTCTCCCACCTGAGAAAACCTCAGGGCCTTGAGCAAAGGGAAGAACGGGTCATTTTTGCTCCTCGCTGAGGAGGCGCGCCACCAGCTGAGACCCTGTGACATGCTTGGCAGCACTGAGAGAGCAGGTTTTTCCTATTAATTGTCATCCGGTTGCTGGAACGGTGTGTGTCCCCATGTCGGATGGATTAGGCAGCATCGAGGGCGGTGCCTTCCCCTCAGCTGTCCGTGGAGCCTCTCTCAGCCCCCGCTCCCCGGCCGCCGGGCTGAGCTGCCTCCTTGGATGGCCCAGGAGGACATGTCCCCATAGGTGGGAGTGACACATCCCCTACTCCAGCGCCAGGCAGCCTGAGGAAGGCCAGGTGTGGAGGTGTGTCCCGCGCTGACCTTGTGGAGGATTCAGCCTGCATGTCTCTGTGCTTATTACTCCTGATTACTTGGGTTTGTGCCTCATTTTAGGAGGAGTAAGTAAATGCCCCAGGCTGCATACACCCTGATCTTTTGTTGCGTGTAGGCATCCCGGTCCAGGAAAGAGAGTGAAGGTGTGGGGACCAGGAGCCCCCCGCTCAGACTCGGGTGAACCTCCGCCTCTTGATGTCCACCCCATCCTCAGCTTTGAATGTTCAAGTCTGGGTTAGACCCTGCGATGCCACTCAGTTGCTCTTTGTTTTCTGCAAAGTTACTTAACCCCTCGCAGAGAGCCTCTTGCCTGATTGGGTTGCTGTGAGTATTGAGATTTATGTATAATTGGCACATGAAAGGGGCTCCGTGGTTATAATTTCCCTCCTTTTCTTTATGTACAAGCCTTTTCTGGCTCCTTTTATTGCCCTTCTACGAAGGGCTGTCCTCCTCAGTCATGCCCTCCTTTGTCGCACACGGTATTTAGTAAGGATGCTTCTATTCTGTACTAATTCCAGTGCCTTCTGTCTGTCCTGCTGGACCAGAAACCACAGATCACTCAGCCCGGGATGCCTGAAACTTGGCGCAGTGTCTGACAAATGCTCTTTGAACTCGAAATGGATGACTGTCTTTTTAATCATAAAAGAAACACAGTGTGTTTGTAACTCTGTAACGGGCTACTAAGGGCGACTTTGGCGGTTGGAGGGGTCAGGGCAATGGGAGATGGAGTGGGGATGATGGGGGGACTCAGAAATCACAGCAGCATCCACACCCACAGGCCTGGAACGCATCGGTTGGATGAGGAGAGACTGTTAACAGGAACCTTTCTTCCTCCTGGAAATAAAAAATACAAAAATGCAAAGGTTGGTGTAACAAATACTCCTGTTCCCACCACTCAGAACAAGTAACTCTTACGGTTTGGTTTTTCTGTCTGCATCTAATGTGTTATTCCTAGAACAGAGAGAGGAGACATTGCTAGTCAATGAAATCTGCTTTAGCTGTCACCCCAGGTCCCGTCCCCAGGCCCATCGGAGTGTCCCCGCGGACAGCCACCAGCCTGGGCTTCATGTGTCTCCATCAGTCCTCTGTGTTTGTCTCTCTGTGTCTCCATCTCTCTTTCTCTGCTGTCTCTGTGCAAGTGTCCTCCCGCCCTTGACCCTCTCTCTCCCCCCCCCCCCCAGCTCACACCCCGCAGGATGCCTCTACCCCATGGTGATGCGAGTGGCCAGGCTGGCAGCCAGTTCATTCTTATGCTTCTGTGTATATATACACATATACGTATATATTTTGTTTTGTTTGTTCTTTCACAGATCGCAAATTGCACTCCTAGACATCTAGAAATCAAAAGTCCATGTATTTCTTATATAGATCCTATTAATGAACTTCATTTGGACGAGAGAACTTGTGCCATAACAGTCTTAACCAGCATGGTTAATGACTGCAACACACCCAAGAGTGGTCACGTACAGAATGTGATACAAACCGATACGTACTTTATAGGAGAAAGTATACATATATATGCATGGGCGGGTTTATGTGTGCTTATAAATGTGTACATTTACAGAACATATTATTGTGTGTGTGTGTGTTTAAAGTTTATTTGTCTATTTTGTTAGCGTGCGCACATTTGGGGAGGAGAGAAGGAGAATCCCAACAGGTTCCTGTGCTCTCACACTGGGCTCGAGCTCACAAACCGTGAGATCATGACTTGAGCCCAACTCAAGAGTCAGACGTTTAACCAACTGAGCCACCCAGAGGTGCCCCAGACACCTCTTTACTTTGATCACCTGCTGTCTTCTTGATCAGCATTGGCTTGAAGAGGGATCACATTAGTACAGGAGGGCATCTCTTAGAATCAGGAAGGTTTTGAAATGATTCTGAGCTAGGGCAGTGGGGGTTCCTTTGGGCTGTTGCTGAAGCCCAGTGTGACCTTAGAGCGGGGGCGGGGGAGGGGGGTGATCCTTGAAGTGTTTGGTGTGGTTTGCTGTGGGAACTGGCTTTCAGAATGGAAGACAGCGCCCCCAGCAGGAGCAGGGAGCCTCCAGGTCTGGGGTTTAACTCTTGGATTGCTGGATCCTGGGATGGTTGGGAAAGGCAGGGCAGGGGCCATTTACTGGGAGGTAAATACATACAAACATTTCAGTATTTTAACAACTAATTCTTTTGTGCCAGGGCATTCTGGGGCTGGGAGTGACGTGGTTCAGAGTTGACACCAAGCCCCCTTTCACAAAATATTCTTAAACTGGACATGAGGAGACCATGGCCATGATTTAGCAGTGCTTAGTGGCATCTGCATTTAAGATGCAGGAGCTATGGCTCAGAAAAGGGGACGTCGTACTCTGGATTCAGGGTGTGGTTAGGCCAAGTTGGGTTTAGAACTCTCGGCTCATGGCCCCAACCACTTTTCATGGCCAGGGAATGAGGTAACTCCTTGGTCTTGGCCAGCCCCTCATGAACATCCACAGTGTACCTGCCTGTCTTCATTTCACATGGTTGTTTCAAAAATGACCAGCTAAATGATGCAAGTGTGTCTTTAAATAGTAAGACAGGTCCTGTACTTTTCATATAAGGTACTGTAGTTATTTAATAGAGAAAGAAGCAGGTGTGTGGGTTTTTGTAGCCACTATTTTGCCTCTTACCTCATGACTACTATCCAAGTTTCCTTACACGCTTCTAGACCAGGGATGCCATGGTGGTGTACTTCGTATTGTTTGGCTTCTTCTTAACTCCCTCCAAAGAGACAGAATACTGGTTTCTTAGAGCTGAAACAAACCTTAGACTTATTAGGCGAATGCCCCCTTGTGCAGGAAAGGAGATAGGTCAGAGAAGTGCACTAACACGCCAGAGCGCACAGCTAGCTGAGGACCGCGCTGGCCCTATTTGCCACATACATGATGTGTGCAGAGAGCACGAGGGGGTGTGGGAGACTAACTGGGACATCAGCTCACTTCTCCCAGCGCTTTGTCTTTGAATGCTATCCTGCTTGAATCGGGTTTTCAGCAGTGTGTCTTGTTAATCTCCTTCTCTCAAGCTGGGGCACACCTGGCCTGGGGGAAGGATGGAGGCTTGTGTTGGATGGTCTTATC